GGGATGGCCCCCTGCTGGCTTAGGCCCGCTCCCCCACGCCCCCTCCAGGGCCTAAGCTGGCAGTCAGACATCCCTCTGGCAGCCCAGGAGCCCTAAGCCGCAGTCAGATATTTCTCTCCCTGCCACGGAGTTGGGAGAGGCTCCCGCCACCACCGCTGTGCTCACAGCCATCAGCCTGGCTTGTGGCTGAGTGGAGCTCCCCCTGTGGGATGCGCACTGACTACTGGGGGCAGCTCCTGCATTGAGTGTTTTCCCCCTGGTGGTTAGTGTGTGTCATAGTGACGAGTCATTCCCAGTTTTTCTGCCGTTAGGGTCAATTTGCATATTACCCTTTTATTATATAGGATATCTAGGATAGGTAATTTTATATAGACAGAAAGTAGATTCAATAGTGCCTTGGGGTAGGGAGTAAGTAAGAAACAAAGGATAGGGTTTTCTTTGGGGGTGATGCAAACACTACCACATTGATTGTGGTGATGGTTGCACAATGATGTGAATATCCTAAAACCCACCAGGTTGAACAAATCTGTGAATTATGTCTCAATAAAGGTATTGCAGAAAGGTATACGGGCAACATTTTGTATTTCTAAAGCATATCACCATAATTTGAAAGCCATCATTGTGTAGGGATATATCACCCAGGAGATGAATGAACAGTAAGAACAAAGCAATCTCACTCTGTCAGCCCACAATTGATAGAGTCATTCTTAGAGTTCTGTGTCTAGTTTTAATCTCTATCCTTTAATAAAGATGTGGAAAATTTGGAGACAGTTCTGACAAGTACATTATAGCGATGCAAATTATTAGAGACCAAAGCTTATGAAAAAACATGAGGATGTTCGTGTAATTTAATCCAGAATCAGGAGGAAAAACAGAGCCTGGCACTTGGGATATGTCAGGGAATCAAGGGTTGTCTGCTAGTATGAGAAATCTAGTAAACATCATGAGAGGAAATGAAGTAGCTCTGCACTATCTCTATAAAGGCTATAATTAAGTATAGTTGGAATAAATTGAAACCAGACAACTTTACATTACACAATGTTCTGATAATGAGAGAGTAATTATTTATAAGAGTCTTAAAAATCTAGAGACATTTAGCATTAGGAAGTACTGACACTTCTAAGAGTTTAAAGAACGTGAAAAATATATTGTATACGAAAATACATTTTGTTTGTGAAAATATCATGTTACAAAAGAATATATATTAAATAATCGCAATTAGAGAAACTTCCTAGCAAAAAAGACAAGAAAGAAATATACCAACTTGAATAGTTCCTATCGTTAACATGATGACCAGTGCATATTGTGTTTTTTCTGTAGTTTTTTCCATTTCCCATAATTTACAGTATACATTTAATCAACAAATAGAAATTTAAAATACATACAATCTGTCTTGGTTTAGATGTATGGTCCTCTCCAGATACTTGCACATTTTAATCACATTTTTTCACAGGCAGGAAATGTCTACTTCAGAAGCAATCAGATTGTGTTGACTTCTCTACTTCACTCAACTATATTTTTTTCTGGTTTACTAGATTTAAGTAATAATACTACTATAACTTGCTTTGGATTTATTACCTTTTACCAAATGTATCTAGCACACTATAATTGCTCAAATGAAGTACAATTTTGAAGACAGTTCTTCATCTCTTATTTTATTAGATGGTTATACTGCAGGTATTTTAAATAGCAAACTTTCATAAAATATACCTTAGGCAACTCATATTGCTTCTGTATAAAGATTATAAGGCCTGGGGAGGGGCGTGAATGGGGTGGAGGGAGTCAATGGGGGAAAAAGAGGACATCTGTAATACTTTCAAAAATAAAGAGAAATTTTAAAAATTAAAGACTAATAAAATGCAAAAAACAATATATACAGAGAAAAAATGAACTGATTCTCTCTAGGGTGATGTGGTTTAATTACACCTTATAACGCCTCTGGCTCATCTTCCTTTATAGTTCTCCGTTTTATCTCATAAGTATTTACTGAAACATTAGCATGAGCATTTTCTTCTTGGAGCTACAGAATCATTGTATCCCCACATAGCTGATAAATAAGAGAATTATTGCAAATTATGCTAAGTTAATAGTTCAGAGTCTTATTTGTAGATTCCCAGGCAAGCAAGCTTGCTGGAAAGTAAATACACAGTTAGAAGGTGTGCTCTGTATTAGGGCCCTTTAACCCCCTTCATTTTAATAATAATAACAAAAAAGAAGAGACATGCAAACTAATAAAATAAAAGTGGGCTCTGGCTTCTCCTATTTTTTCCCTTTTTGGTCTATGGCAACTGTCATCAACAGTCTTACTTGGTTTTTCTATATGGATTTTAAATTTGATGTCACATTCATGACTATGTCATCAGAGTTACATAGTACCCCTTTCTTTCTCTAGAGCTGTAGTCTCTAAGAAACTCAGTTCTCTGGGCTTCACCTCAGCCCATATTTCTGGGGTAGGACTCTTACATGTATTTATTTTTAAAAGCTTCCTGCAATAAAGCATCCAGGTTCAGATGATTACATTAAAGGCTGTTGCCTGTCTGCCTTCTCCATAGAACAGCTGTCTTCACTCCTTGACTACACAGTTTCTGGGAAGCTTTTAAAAAATGTAAAGGCTTGGATCCATTCAAGGCCAGTTATATTACTATATATTACTATATTGGAGCTGCAGGGAGTGGCTGGGGTTGTTAGTGCTATTGTTTTTTTCTCTTTCCAGTGCATTACAGGTGATTTCTAAGGTAAAGTGAGATTTGCCAACTACTGTGCTCTTCTGTGAGTGACTTGTGACCAGGGACTTTGTGCTGTTGTGTCTTTGTTTTCACCCTCCACATGGTGCCCTGTATTAGTTTGGCTATGAAGGCTTGTCAAACAAATGAAGGACTAGCCGTCCCCTGTTGCATTTGCCCATGCTGCATCCCGAGAGACATTGAGTCTAGTTCCAGATTTAGTCATGTTGGTCTTCATTTTCTTAGCACAGGTGCAGCAGTGAACAGCAGTGAGAGTCTCCCTCCATCCTCGTCCGTCAACGACATCTCCTCCATGTCCACTGACCAGACCCTGGCGTCCGACACTGACAGCAGCCTGGAAGCCTCGGCGGGACCCCTGGGTTGTTGCAGGTGACTAGCCGCCTGCCTGCGAAACCCAGCGTTCTTCAGCAGATGATGGGATGGAACACACACACCCGCACACACAGAACCATACACACACAAGCGCAGACATGCAATGACATGAACACAGCAAGGGAGAGAATCCAAGCCTAAATTGAAACCTTTCAGCCTGCTTCTTCTCCAGAGTGCTCTGTTGCAGCTAAGCCAGATGCATATTTAACTTCTAGTTGCTCTTGCTTTGATCTTCTCCCAATGATGCTTACTACTGAAGGCAAATCAAACACAATTAGGGAAGCCTTTTCCATAAAGTGTAATTTTAATGGCTGCAAAACCAGCGACCTGTAACTGCCCTTTCAAATGGCATGACAAGGTGTGCAGTGGCCCCATCCAGCATGTGTGTGTCTCTATCTTGCATCTACCTGCTCCTTTTGGCCTAGTCAGATGGATGTAGATACAGATCCGCATGTGTCTGTATTCAGACAGCACTGCTTACTTAGAGATGCTACTGTCAGTGTCCTCAGGGCTCTACCAAGACATCATGCACTGGGGTACCACCTGGTCCATTTCATGTGATCTATTACTCTGACATAAAACCCATCTGTAATATATTGCCAGTATATAAGCTGTTTAGTTTGTTAATTGATTAAGCTGTATGTCTTATAAGAAAACATGTAAAGGGGGGAAACGTGGGGGGAGTGAGCTCTCTCGGACCCTTGAAGATGTAGCTCCCAAATTTGAACTGATTAAATGGCACCTGTATACCAATTTGTAGAAAGAACATATGTGATGCTTATGTACACTGTGGGGGCGGGAGGGGGTAACAGTTTCCAGGCACTCAATGGTTTGGCTTTTGAAGGAAGGTGGGAATGCAAGCTGAGAGCCTTTTCCCTCACAATGTGTGGGTAGACTGACTAGAGTTGTGTTGAGATGGAGAAAGACCTACAAGGGATTATTGCCCAGTTACTAGGAGACACTGACATACATGTTTTAGAGAGTAGACCCCATTTGTCATTTAGAAGTTATGTGTCCCAACTGGACAGGGAGGGGCAGGTGGGGAGGCAGGGGCATTGTGCACGCATCTGATCCTAGGAATTGCTCTCCGTGTGATGTCCTTCAGAACATGAGCCTCGGTAGACCACCTTCACCTTGTGGGTTGTATTTTCCATGAGTGTGCTACTTCCTGGGCTTAGGTTTTCCTTGAGAAGAAATATTACTTTCCTCTTCTGGAATTAAAAAAAATAAGAATGACTTTAAAACACACAAAAGCACAGGGTGATCTTCAGGTTAGCATTTGAAAACATTTCCACTGACATTGTTTCTCACTCCTTAATATGGCTGATGCTTCCTATTTGTTTATTTCCATCCATTGGAACCATCCAAGAAGGGTGAATAATTCGAGTTTAGTGCCGCAGGTGATGCCACAGCAATAACTCCACCCACAAGTTCCTGCTGCTAAACAGCTTTAGCAAAAGCAGTTTGTCCTAAGAGCCATGAAGCATGGATGTCCGTGTTTAGCAAAATCACCTGAGTTTAGCACTCATTCAGTGAAGGTGCTTCCTGACTCCCGAGGAGGCAGCGGAAGGCACCTGGGTTAGGCACAGGGCAGTGCCAGGGTGACTTCTCAGCAATACTGGAGACCGGCCAAGGCTTCCCTTCGTACGTGGCTGAGCTCACCATCACAGCTCTGTGCACTCTGACCTTTTTGGTGCGGACCAGTGTGGTGACATTTCACCTGAAGAAGAAGTGAAACACATGAAACAGATGGGTGATGAGTGTGCTATGGCTGGCAAGTGGAATCTCTTCAAAACGAGAGCCTACAAGAATGCCAGTGCTCTGACCACTGCCTTAAACACACTAGGGGAGCTCTGTCTCTTTTCAAGCAATAGAATCCCCCCCCCCACTCCCACCCCTCACCCCCGCCACTATGCAGCAGTGCTGCCATTTAGGGGATTGCTTCACACAGTAGGATTCAGGACAAGCGGTCATTTGTTTAAAATGGGGAGAAAAAAACATTAGACCATGCAGCTTGTCCCCTAGAATAAAAGTAGTCCGGTTTCTCTGTCTTGCTACCATCGTTTTTGGTTAATATTACAGACAACCTGATTTTAAAAACTCTCATTTTTCCTTCTGTTACACTCTCCCACCCCAACCCCTTAAAAAAACAAAAAGAATGTTTCTTCTTTGTACCCATTAAGTCTTTACTTCTTTTTGTTCTTCTCTTGCTTCACCTGTGGCCTCTCTCCTCCTGACTCTCTAGCACTTGCGATTAAGGGCAGAGAGGAAGCAACTCTTTGAAAGAGCGTCACAGGGGAATTTATTCAGCCACAAAAAGACATCAAAAGACAGAAGGAGGTCTGCAGCCAGCATCTTAGAAGTGCTTGGCAGGTAGACTGTCCCTCATCTGCACAGAAGTGACGTTTTGTTTTTTTTTACTTAGATTAAGCCAGATATGAACTAGGTAATGTCCCTCTCCTGCTATCACTACCTTCCCTAAACTTAACTGGTCTGATCTGCCAGTTGTCTGGTTCTTAGGAGCTGATTGCCTTTAGCCAGATCTCCCTTATGGACAAGCACAGATAGAATAAATCCCTCAGTTGAAGTTTCATGTACAAATAGAACTAAGAGTTTGGCTTTTTCATTGCTTATAGGATTAATTTCACTAGGTTATCAAAGCAAGCTAGGTGATGTGACAACAAAGAGAATTATTTCAAAAGCCCACCAGCCTTTCATGATGGTGGGTCTACTTTATTATAATATTACTAGAGTCCCGATGCATGAAATTTGTGCACTCGTGGGGATCCCTCAGCTCAGCCTGCACCCTCTTGCAGTCTGGGAGCCCTCAGTGGATGTCTGACTCCTGGCTTAGGCTCCATAGGGAGCGGGCCTAAGCTGGCAGTCAGACATCCTTAGCACTGCCACGGAGGCAGGAGAGGCTCCCATCACTGCAGCTGCGCTTGCCAGCCGTAAGCCCAGCTTCTGGCTAAGCAGCACTTCCCCTGTGGGTGTGCACTAACCATCAGGGGGCAGCTCCTGCATTGAGCGTCTGCTCCCTGGTCGTCAGTGAGCGTCATAGTGACCGGTCATTCTGCTGTTCGGTCGATTTGCATATTAGCCTTTTATTATATAGGATGTTGGCATTGAGCCTTTTTTCCCTAAAAAAAAATCCTATATAGTCACCTGTAACTTCCAAAGCACTCTTGCTTTTTAGTCAGGAAAGTATCAAGTCACCTGGACTATGTTCCTGAAAAAAGGAAAAAGTCCTACCTAAGGTTGGGGTTCATTTCAGAGTGTGTGGCTGGCACTCAGAGACTTAACCTGTCACTTCCTCTAAGGCACTGGTTTTGCAGCACACACACATTCATACACACATCACCCTTCCAGTTCTAGATCAACCCTGGAAGGCAAAACCATGCCAGTTTCTTTGAAAGATCTTAGTGAAATGCTTTGTTGTATTTTGTAGGAGGCATGGCTGTGGGCCCGCAGGCAGGAAGAATTAAATTGTTGGGAGAGTTTGGCAAAATCCACCACCATATTGATATGTTTATATAAATTTTGTGATTCAGCCTGTTCATTTTTTAAAAAAAGATACATGGGTCTTACAACCAAATTTCTTCTTGTAGAATAACAACTAATAGTGACTTTGCATCTTCAAGAATCTGATGACTGAGCTTTGTGGGAATGTATACCCCAGGTGGACCAGGGCCTGGCCAAATCCTTCTGACTGGAGTGAGCTATTTAATTGAGGGCCAAGGGGCAGGAGTGTTTTCTCAATTTGTTATCATTATCAGAAAAACATTACCTAAGGATACTGGTAACAGAAAATAGACCTTGACAAGTGGAATAAACGGAATAGATAAAAATACATAAATCTCTCTATGACCTGGTTGGTGGGAGTAGGTGGGTAGAGGCAAAACTCACTTTTAAATTTTAAATATTCATTGCAAAATCTAAACTATACAAAAACCTATTTCTTTTTAATTATTTTTTTAAATTCTCACCCAAGACTACTTTTCCATTGATTTTAGAGAGAGTGGAAGAGAGAGGGAAGAGAGAAAGAGAGACATCGATGTGAGATAAACGTATCGATTGGTTGTCCTACTGACCAGGGCCAAGGCCAGGGAGGAGCCTGCAACTGTGGTATGTGTCCTTGACCAGAATCAAACCTGCGACCCTTCAATCCAGAGGCCGATCCTCTACCCACTGAGCCAAACTGGCTAAGACTCTTTTTAATTCTTTTAACATATGACAATTTAAATCTTAAAAGCAATGCAGTTTATTAAGAATGTTGTCCGCCAGCTTTGCTGAAAAATTTATCTTTTACAGCTCAGAGAAATAAATAAAATTGCTCCAGGAATCTTTGGTCCCAACCACTTTGGGTCTGAAGATAAATTCCACCCCTTCTCAGAATCTTCCCCAGCTCTTACCCCCCACACACATTTTAATTGTGAGAATCCAACATTTTCCACAGGTATCATTAAACCATCAGGACTCCTTACTGTAAAAACAACTAACAAGTTACAATGTAAATAGTTATTTATTTTCCATGTGATTAAAATATAAGATTTTGTTATTGGGGGGGAAGGGGCACTTAGATAGTCTGCTCACTGTCCGAAATGATTTACTTTGACCCATTTCCTTGGTCAGTCAAGCTGAAATGGACTTCTGTATATCTAACCTTTGATTCTGTGGGACCAATGGCCAGTATATCCTAATGGAAACAAATCTCCCAACCCTTACCTACCATTAAACTGTTCACATTGCCATGTTTATCTTGCAACAAGACCTAACTTGCACCTGCCTGTTATTCTGCATGATTGAACTCCCAAGACTCTTACCAATGGTGAGAATTGTCCTGTGTCAGTGTTTATAAAATGGACTTGCAGCACGCACACATTCACACACACCTCACCCTTCCATTCTAGATCAACCCTGGAAGGCAAAGCCATGCCGGTTCCTTTGCAAGGTCTTAGTGATGAGAACTGGAAGTCAGCCGAATGGATCAAGTGCAATCTCAGTGATGTTTAATAAGCATTTGAAATTATTTAATTCATTTCTGTGTTCTTTCTCTTTTTTTATTTCTACTTTTTTTCTTTATTTTCAAATTGTCGGTGGAATAAGAGCGAGAATAAGGGAGAACTTGGACTTTTTTGGACTCTTTGTAGGAGGATGCTGAGTTGATACATTGTGATTTCTGTTTCTTATGATTATTAAACACCAGAGTAAATCTGCTTCCCTTAACATAAAATCAAATCTTAAACAGACCTCGTTGGAGTTTGCTGTTGACAGTGGTGTTTGTTCTGCTCGTTGTCTTGGTTTTCATGTCTTGCAGTAGCTCTGAAGCGTCTCACATGGTTTCCTAGTGTGGTCTGATTGTGCTCGGGAATAAATAAGGAATGAGGAATGACCTGCTTTCCCCTACGGATAAAGTGTGTGTGATGTGTATGTGACCATGTAGAAGGCTGTGCTTTCATGTGAGATGGGTTTCTTCTAAAAATGACCTGCATTTCTCTTTGGGGACACTAGTTGTGTATCTGCAATTCAGTAACTTTTCTTAAATGTGTAAAATCAGTGAAGGGGGAAAATCATTTTCTGGAAGCATTATAGTGAGTAGAACAGGGTAAATATCCTTGGTTACTTTATCAGAATTACCGATAAGTTTAATTATTACCCAAGAGAGAAGGTAAAAGGTTTTCTTATCTACATGGTAGCTAACTTAATACCTCAAACTGTTTGGTGAATAAAAAAATATGTAATTTTGTGGTTTG